TCTTCTTGTACATGGAACAGTTCCTGTAAACCATACTCCCCCGAGAAGGTCATGCAGGTCTTGGATAGCTTTCTTGCTGGGTTTCGAAGATTCACTGTCATCGAGACTGTCTTCAATTGAGCTGGATCGAAGTCGTTTGTAAGTCTTAAGCAAGACYGRTGTGTGTTKGTTGATTTCACCATGGTCGATGTGATATTTTGGTTATTTTTCTTAAGGGTTGATTATTTCGATACACGAAAATCACTTAGTAATTACTGTGCACGAGATTACGTGTACTCTTAGTAGGTGTTAAGTGTGTATGAAAATTGAAATTATAAGATTAAGATTCTCGCGCTTGGACTTGAACTTTCAGTAGATCTGATTAGATCCTGTGTAGCTCTCGGTACTAAATCTACACAGAGTTCTTATTATTCTGATCTACTGACATCTTTGTTCCGTGCGAGGTATTCTATTTCTCATATCGTGGACCTCTTACGATCCTCGGACCTCTTACGTGTTCAGTGTTYGGTCCTCTTATGATGCATCCTATGATACATACATAGGAAGCGTACCTTACGATAGGTACGTAGGAATGGTATGCTCCTTCATTCCTTTCTTCGGAGCTTCGTATCGTACGTAACGATTCATCGGTACGTTGCACTCCTGGAAATGGATTGGCAACTTGAACAAACAATAACTACTCCTAAGCTTCTTGTTTTTGGTATTTGCTCTACTAGTAGATCTCTACCAGTACTGCTACTTGTACTGATGTGTCCATTACATTGGGTTAGTAGTGTGTCCCCTTCAAAGCCTACTGCTGGTGCTAATAGTGGTACTAGTATCTCAAACTACTCAACATTTTCAGCTCTTCAGAAACGTTTGTCATTTGCTCCTTCAGAAACATTTGTCATTCGCTCTACTAGATCTTCACCACCCCCAGTACAAACTACTATTATGTATTATCTTTTACGAGGGACTTGTTGAACCCAATAAGTATGATGTCAGTTACCAAGTACCTCTACCACTATCACTATCACAGAGTACTAGCATCAATAGCTGACAGTTGTTATCACTCATGTATGCTTTTTCTGATCTTTGTTGTAGTACTTGTGCTTCTTTGTTCTAACTTCATTCCAAATCAAATTAAAGGTAGGAGCTTGCTCCTACTAACCAACTACTAGTACTAGGAGTACTAGTAGTAGTACTACTACTAGTACTACTACTAGTACTAGTACTACTAGTACTACTACTACTAGTACTACTACTACTAGTAGTAGTACTAGTACTAGTACTACTACTACTACTGGGCACACCACCAGAGTGGGACTCGTCATCCACACTGCTGTGTCAATTGGTAACAGCTGTAGTAGCTAAGAATAGTGGTATTTTTGCTAATTTTGGAATATTTCCCTACAGGTGGTGTTAATAAAGTCTACGTTCAAGAAGAAGTTCCTTGTTAGATAGTACCACAGCTAGTAGTAGTAATACTAATGCTATCAAATACCAAGAAGAAATACCACATTGTGATGAGCACCATCATGGCTGAATCAAAAAAGGGTCCATTGCCATTATTAGTAGGAGTACCACTGGAATTTGATTATTGATGAAAAATAAGTCATTGTAATAAAAACTTCACATTACAGTAATATGTGTACTAACCTCTTGAACTAGAAGAGGCAATAGGAAAGCCAGAACCATCACATCTAGGGAAGACACTCAAAGTGGCTCAAGGGGTGACACTCCAAAATGAGCATGACCAGTAAATTATTGATTGTAGCTGCAGTAGCTCACTAGTTATAACAATTTGCTGTTGTTATGACAGTTTATGACAATTTCAAGAACTGATCCCTAACTCAAAGAAATCTACCCTATAGATTCATAGATCAATTGCTATATGAATACATAAAATGAACCAAAAGTGTCAATCTGTTTCTTATCAGGTATATCGAAACTTTGAAACAGAGTAAGAATCAGCATACAGTAGATTCTCAATTATTGAATATTGCTAGACTCTTTCATCCCCTTATGAAAAGGTCTTCAAACGAAAATAGAAAATTCTGCTTTTTGTCACCATCACAAGCCACGAAGGGTGCTTTGTTGCAAATGTATATTATCATAATTGAAACAGATTTTCTAAATACTGAAAATCCAATTCTTCTTTGGTTTCAGTATATTGTTGTGAAACATCTTCTGTCTGTTGGTGATGCAATATATGTAGAAAGCTGTCTGAAGGAACGTCGTCATAGATAGGGATATCCTGAGGGTTTCGATCTTCTATGAACCGCTGGTGCCTCTCAAACAATTTATCTAGCCGCTCCATCAAATCGCATTGCCGGCGTTTGAGATCCTCTTCCTCACAGGACGATAAAACTACCCCCATGTTTCCAAATACCATGTTCCCGTGGTCGACTACTTTATCCATAACAGATAATAGCTTCAATCGAACATTCGATAGTGAGTCAGGACTGCCTTTGTTTACATCACCAGTGGCGAAGGTATCGGTTTCGTCGGAAGGTACAATGTTGGGAGCAGTATGAGAGGAAAGTACTCCGACCACGAAATTGTTCCTATCATTCAGCGAGGCGATTCTAGGTTCGAGAGCTTCTTGGCTCGGAGAAACGCAAGTTTCAACAGACAGCCGCTTCGATAGTAGATGATTTGCGTGAACCCTCTTAACTGGGCTACTCTCTCCTACCAGATGACACCTCTTTGCAGTAATTCTATTGGTGGTGTTTCTATATAGAAAATTGCCGGTCCGGTGTGGTTCGTCTTTCTTGCCCTTTTTCTTGATCTTGATTCTTACCATGAAATGGCAGATGTCGGTTTTCCCCCGAATGAAGAGAGGATGGGTGTACGATCCATGATATTCGCATGATTTCAGACGTTTGAAGCCGTAAATATTTACTGCAAAACGTTACAAACACCATCGAAAGTTTTCGCGATATTTTATGATGAGTAAGAGATAGATATTGTCGATGAGGTGCTATAAATGGTATCAATCATTTGCTGGTTTGTCGCTGTCGCTGTAAAAGGCTACTTACACTGACGTTGGAAACTTTTGTACTGTGATTGTCGGAAATATTTCTTTAAAATAATGCCCTCGAATCGTTTCTGGTCGTGGACCTTGAATGCTCTGTCGCCCTGCCACGAAACAATATCTCGAAAACCGTATTGTTCACTCTCCTCGAGTACAATATGGAGCTTCCACGGAAAAGACACTTCGCCATTGCTTGTCGTCTTGGGAAGAAGCCTTGCGACGTCCGAAGAAGAAAGGTGACGCATGTTGCACATTCCAGAAGGTACACAGATAATGCGGATACCAGCGGATTATTGTTGTTACAATTGTAGCGCAATGCACAATAAATGTTTTGTCACTAGTCGGTATCTAGTATGGAAAGCAATGGTACCGTAGTGTATCTGACCAAAAATTTACTTCTGTGAATTATGAATTTCGGCAGTGCGAAATACTGCCTTCTTTAAGTTCCCAAAAAAGACTCGCTTTTCGGTGTGATCTTCTTACATAGCCTAAGCATGTCAAATTAATCGGCATTATTCACAGAGATCAATACGAGGTGGCGCATTCTTGCGAGACCCCTATTTTGTGATGACTTATTGAGAACGCATAGATCTGCAACGGAAAATTCCTACAATACTAAAAGAAGAATATTGTGGATTTTCATTGTATTACTTCCGGAAGTACTACCGAAAATTTCCCTAATGAGAATATCACTCGCTAAAAAGTCCTACTGAGAATAATTTTAATCGCTGAAAATTTTATCGAGATATTCTGAGAATCTGAAAACTGATAAATGATTATATACCCATACATTTAACGATGATTTTTATTACAGTATAAAGGATTTGTAGAGGATTAAGTAAAATAAGAATCTCTACGTACAAGGAAACAGAGAACTAGTCCGTGTGCTACTTTGTGAATTCCGATCAATGTTATACATAAGTCTACCGAACCGTTTTTGTTCGGCAATAAAAAATAGCAAGGAATTTCCCGAATGGTACTCTTGTTGCAACTGTATGTGCAAAATGATGCACGAGATGTATTTTCTAATGTTAACTTCCATGTATCATTTACGTACCATTTTACATAACCATAGAATTCGGTAGTACAATGAGTTTTTAATCTTTTATGTACCGTACCGTACGATACCTTAACTATTCTTACAGTCTACAATTACATCAGTGTTGGTGTAGATCCATCCTAGAGGGGCAATTACTGATATGGAGGAGGTTGGCTAGCTAATGGGTGATTCCCGATAACATATTTTCCGATATGTTTTCGGGAATCACTTTCAGTGGTACA